AATTTAAACGTGTAAACTGAAAGATTTATAATATCCACACTTTTAAATGAAAATTGTAATCATACATATAAAGGGTCAAACAAAAAAAAGAAAAAACAGAAGCATATAAGTCATATGTCTAATGTATTTGAATTGATAATATTACTCGGGTATCAAACATTAGTTGAAATTTATATAAATCACCTCTGGAATTCAAATCAATTTTTAATTCAGTGCTAATGAAAACTGTTACACAAAAAGATATAAATTAAAGAAAATATTCATACCCCAGAACACTACACTAAAATAAATCTATACTACTAATAAAAAAGGTACCTTAGCATGAAAAAAAAATTGATTCACTATTTTATCCTTATAAAGAATTTTAAGTACTACACTATCATTCCATAGTTAAATATCTAAATTATCATCATATTCTTATGTATTTAAATCTACAAATTATCTCTAACATCTCTTTTAATTTTCTATGTATAAATATCAGTATATATTAAACTTTTTAATTGATTATGTTGACCTTAAAAGTATACGCAACATTATAATTTTCAATAACATGTTCAAAAAAATTTCAAAAACTTCATTAACCTAACATTACTCATTTCATATATAAAGATAACATTATGCCTACATATGTGTATTTTTTCATCCAAAATTTCAAAACTTTCATTTTTAAGATAAAAATAAACTTTTACGTAGTTTTTTAAAAATAATTCATATTAAATTTCAATCACAGTAAACTTTTCATGTTTTATTAAGAGTTTATATAAAATAGATTATAATGTATTTTTAAGTAAAACTTGAATTAGAATTTTAATATTCTTTTAAAACATATATTATATTATATTTTATGGTTACTAACACTTTTAGTCAATAAAATATACATGTTTTGGCAGATTAGTCCTTATTGTATCAATTTATTCCCTAGAATATTTATTTAATATTTAAATGATCCATATACAAATAGTTTGTTAAGTTTTTGATAAAGTACCATCTAAAAGAATGACACACAGTCACTTCCGTCAAAAAACTTAATGAATCATCTAGTTAGGGGCTATTTAAACAAAAATTAAATATTTTATGAACCAAATTGACAAAATTCATATACTGAGGACTAAACTAACAAAACACACATACTTGAGAAACCTAAAGTGCTATAACCCCATATTTTATCCCTATTGACCTAACTAATCCTAATTATAGTAAATATTGATTAGAATATTGACAATTATTTTTATTTTATTCAAAGAATTATAAGTTAAAACCTAATCAAATAAATTATTTTTACCTTTTTTTCTTATAGTTAGAACAACGAATCATTGGAAACTGACAAATTTTCTAAAATTTTATAGTATAATACGAATGATAAAAACATAATTTTAATAAAATTTAGATGGTATTTAATTTAGGTACATATATACCTAAAACTTTATATTAATATTTTATATACGAAAATTATTCATGTACAATACACATGGTACATTGCTAGTCTATATAAAAGTGGACGACTTTTAACAACACTACCCACAATTAGAACAACAATCAACGTGTTCATGATTGCAACTAATAAACCAATAATTAAAGTAATCAACGCCATCACGATTACCACCACATGATCAATAAGTCAAATAATCAAAGCAAACGACGTCATCATAATCATTACCACCTTATCAATCACTTCTCCAAACAACACTTCCAAAGAAGGGTTATTAGGACAAAATTGTGGCGTAAGCTATATTGGAGAAGATAAGTAATTTGGTTTTGGGTGTCGCTTGACTTGGTAGTGCATGACAGAGAAAAATTGGAGGGACTTGTGGGAGTTGTTGGAGCGAGTGTAGGTTGAGATTAGGTCTGACAATTGTGTCGAGGGGAACGGTTTCGTATCGGGTGAAACGGGTTTATGTCAAAAAACTCTCTATCCATACCCCATTCGTTTATATAAACGAATTCAACTATCACACCCATACAAGAATTTTTTATTAGGCAGGTTATCAGATACAACCTTGTGTCACCCACTAAATAAGGGAATAGGTTAGAGTATTTCGAGTCCACTCTAAAAATCATCAACTCGCCACATATTACACATGTTTGACTTATTTACTATAACAATAAATCATGACTGAGCAAAAAAATAAAGACAAAAAATAAACATTAAATGACAATTAAATTTGAATGAGTCTGAAAAATGGAAGGTGTGAGATGAGACAGAGGTTGAGAGACCTAACTTTTTAAAAAAAAAATTTATAGTACTACTGTTAATGGGTTGAAACGAATTAATGGGTTAAACACGAAATCGATTAATTTATTTTATGAGTCTGTCGAGTAAACCCGTTAACCACTCAAACTCGTTAAGATTACACCCAAACCTGCTAAATTCATGTTGGGTTTGTGTCGATTTCACGAGTTGTGTCTAGAATTGTCAAACCTAGTCAAGATAAGAGAGGTCCAGGGGTGTTCACCCTACCCTACGGGTAGAAAATATAGTCTTTCGTCTTCCTACTCGATACTTTGCGAAAATTTTTTTTCTTGGCCTACCCTACTTGATCAGGTGTAGTATTCCTACCTGACTTCCTACCCAATTAATCGGATAGGAAGTTGGATAAACACTTTTGCAGCTATTAATTTTTGTATCATTTTAACAATTCAATTAAATAACATGCACTAATTTAACAACACAATAAATTAATAACACTAAAACTTAAAGCAACTACAACAACAATTACAATAAAATATAAGAAAACATGAACATTAATCCATCATAATTATTACACAAGTACAATAATAATTATTTTAAGTTTAAACCATATGAAACACATTAAAATCATAACTGTTCAAATAGATCATTAGTTTACCACAAATCATGTAAACTACACAAAAAACAAGTTCATGTTTTCACAACTCAAATATCAACAACAATAACAATATTATAATATAAATTATACCACACAAATACTCTTATAATTACTAAAAAATATATAAAAAATTAAATATATTTTTTTGTGGGTAGGGTAGGAATGTGAAAATTGATGGATATTCCGCATTCCCACCCGATTTAATCGAAAGACTAAAAATTCTTCCGCATTTCTACCCGATTTTTGCTGCTAGCCGTTCTATATGGTAGGGTCAGGTAGGAAATTGCGGCCAATCAAAAAATTGGACACCCCTAGGGAGGTCCATAGTATTGTGATTTTTGTGGCATTTGGTCAAACAATTGGTTTGGGTTTGGGTCTAGGTCGGGTCTTGGTCCAGGTCCGGGTCCAAGGTCCAGAGTTTGGGGTCCAATTCTGAGTCAAGTTTGTGTCTGGGTCAGATCTGGGGTCGGGTCGGATCTGGTGTCTGTGGCAAGTTTGGGTCTAGGTCTGGGGTTAGAGGGGTGGGTACAGGTCAAATCGGAGTAGTGTCGGCTACAGGTCTGGGGTTAGGTCAGTGTAGGGCTGGGTACAAGGTCGGGTCAAGTTTGGGGTCGGGTTCGAGTTTAGGGTTAAGTTTGGGTCAATTCTAAATATGGGATTGGTTCCGGGTCTAGAGTCAATTCTGGGAAAATTTGGGTCAGGTTCAAGTCTGGGATTTGGTCAGGTCAAGATCAAGGTCGAGTGCTAATGTAAGTTCAGGTTTGGGGTTCGGGGTTTGGGTATGGTGCAGATCTAGGTCTGAGTCCGGAAGCGGATTTAGGGTGTGGGTCCAAGTCCGAAGTCGTATCCATGGTCAATTTCGAGCATGTGGTCAGGTCCAAGGTCCTAGGTCTGAGTCTGGGTCTAGTGTATGTGTGTGTGTGTATATTTTGATATATTAGTATATGCATATTTTAGTGTGTTATTAACATAATCTTTAGCTAAAATTCTGAAAATATCTTTAGTCATTGAATTAATAAGAAAAAAATTTTAAAACGATCTGAACTGCTGCATACCAACAAATAATTTTGCATTGCTTGTGGAAAGCCAATTGCAATATATTTTAGCACAGCAGACAATTCACATAACCAAATGTAGATGTAACTATTACCAAAGAAAAGTGAGTCTTCTACAATTAAATTGTAACCTACCAACCGCGCGATGAAAACAAAGTATGAATCTGATCTTCAAGCCGTTAGTCACACATCATGATGGTGGACCAGAATTCAAGAAGACCTGCAAACGTGCAGAAGAATTTTAAAGACGCATGTTGAAGCATATATCTAACTACACGCTCACATAAATGGATATATATGTATGCATTATATATATGCACACATTTTTTGGGGAATAAGTAAATATGTCCATTAAATTTTGCAAATTGTACAAGTAAATTGTTCTCTTTTGGCTATCAAATAACAACTAAATCAAAAGAAATCCAAACTGATAAAAGTACTGCAAATTAGAGGTAATACAAAAGAAGCAAATTAGACGTAATACAAAAGAAGCTCATAGCCCAGCAAGAGCATTAGAGATGGAGGAACTCCACATCTGAAGGAAGGCTAAGTTCATTGGAGTATGCCGGTAATTCGCGGTGATAAGTTTGCACTTGATCACTTGAATAATGAATTTGAAGATGGTTGCTACATTCTTGTATTCATTCCTGAAAATTCTAACATTTCTTTCTCTCCAAATAGTATACTGTGACTGCAAGGCTCAGTTTAAGCACTATGACCCTAAGATTTTCCTCTCCAGTGCTCAAAACCCTTCTGTATAGCATTTGGCCATGAGAGAGAAAACCAAGATGCATGAATGAGTTGGAGTACTCTATTCCAAATTTGACCTGTCTGAGCAATCAAAAAAAGGATGGCAGTGGCTTTCCTCCGTGTTTCTGCAGTACACACAAACAGAGCTTATATGCTGCATATATTTCTTGACATCATCCATAGTCCCTAACTTCTCATGAACAGCCAACCATAAGATAAAGCTCATTCTGGGAATGTGCGGAGGTTACCAGATGAGCTTATACCAGGGAACCTTAGGTGAAGCCCTATGGAAACATTTCCAAGCAGATTGTGAAGTGTAAATACCAGTGGAGAAGGGTAGCCATCTCACCTTATCTGTTTGCTGAGGTTAGGGAGGTAAGGGGGAGAGAATTCTGTATTTGCATAATTTCATCTGCCACAGAAATAGGCCATGCCCAAGAATTTCCATTGATGACAGTTGCAACCTTGGCATGAACTGGAAGGAGAGAGGTTTCAATGATGGTAGCACTTAGCAGGCCATCACAGCAATAATCAAACCCCGGGACTCCGCATAATTTCTACATTCATGCGATTCATCTGCAAAATACACGATTTGGATTTAGTGGGAGCGAGGTAATAATCGCAGGACTAAGACTGCACAACTTATAAACATTCTAATGGCTTTCCCTTTCCAAGTGCCTGCATAGGTGAAAGAACAAAGGCGTATGCACCCAAGGCTCTCAGTGTTTGTCAACATGTACTTCAGGTTGAGTTTGAATGCAACAGAACCCAAAATTTGCACATCCTGTACATCAGAATACCTTTCAGCAATTTGTGTCTACTGTCTACTCCTATAGTTGCTCTCTTTTTAATTTCCACTTTATCTTTTCCCTTCTCAAACAAAATCATGCAAGGCATAGGAGGGTAGCATGAGAAACACACTACTCCACTTAGCAAATGTGATCCCACTGCAAAATATGTGAAAACATAACTAATATCATAAAAAAATCTAGTGGTGGTAGGTTTTTTCTGGCCAGAGGTATTGGGTACTTTACAAGAAAAATCACGCATGCGGGCTGCAAATTATCTCATGACATTGGGACTATATACTCCATAAAGTTCTCCAAACACAAGTCTGATGCAAGCCTGATTTTCTTCGTCTCTGAAAGTATGACCAGGCCAACAGTTACAATGAACTTTGAAATAAGCCACAAGATGGAGATGTGAGTAGCAAATGTGTCACTCCACATAGCTTGGCAAATGGTTTCCCAGAAAAGATAAATTAAAAATACAAGCAAATGTACTGATAATCACTTCATGGTGACAAACTCTACAGGAATGGAAGAATAACCCTCTTTTATGCATAGGACTAATAAATCCCTCCTGTAATGAGGCATATATGCGCCATAAAATTCTCCAATACGAACTACGAAGTAATTTACCGACCTTTGTTTCTCTCATAACTCATAAGCATGTGCAGCAGTCTCACACTTCCTCCTCTTTTTATAACATACCACTGTGGGCTAGTGAGGCGCATGCCTGAAACTACCAAAACCAATTAGCCTGAACTCCATCCCAAGTCAAAGAAGAAAAATAAATAGAAATAGATTCTGAAATGAAACAGCCCATTGGACACACTGACCACAAAAGCATATCAGATACACGTAACAGAACTAAGAATATCTTGAACAAAGAAAGCATCCATTTTGACAAAAGATAGTTTGCCACAGAAGCTAAATTTTGCTTTATATCTAGAACCATATCAAGTTTTTACTGTTTAATAAGGCAATGTCTTTTGGATAGGAGGCCAAAAAATAAGGCAAGAAAAAAGTAGAAATCACAACTTTCAATCATTATTAGCCAGTCGTAATTTCTTAAGTGAGACTATGCTGTGACAACCAGCTGGATCAACCATAGTATATGCTGGGGGTTTAAGCACCCGTAATATAGGCCACCCTTTCAGAATAGCACAATTGCATATCATCTATGATTTTCCTTAAGAAAGACATTGACTAAACCTAAAATGCTATATATGTTGGAGACATATTGCATACATTATGGAAAAATGTAAAGTTATGGGACAGATTACCACCATTCAATAGACTGTATTCTAGCATGCATACAGGCTAACACAAACAAAAGATATTTCACAGACCAAACTAAACAATATGGTAACGTTGATCACAGAAGGCATGCTACTACAAGGACTTCCAACTTTCAGATAAGTGCATATAGCCATCTGAGTATCCTCATATGAAGACATGTAGGACTTTTAACCTGGCATGATGAAAAATATAAAAAATCATGTTTAAAATATTTCGTGTAAGGAAAAAGATGCCTGCTTACTGAGACAACGTTGTGTCAGCGGGACAGCGCTTTGCACTTGTCTTATCTGACAAAAGTCCCTGGCTTGCAGATGAAAAAGGGAAAACGATATAATAGTTGAATCAGAACCAGGATGTGCAGCAATACAAAATAAAATCATAAAAAGAAAATCAGAACCATGACCATACCTAACTACAAACCTTACCATCTCAAAACTTCAACTTTAGAGCATTTAGCCACCTCCCCAATCTTATAGCAAATCTTAGGAAATGATCTCAAGGAATAAAGAAAATTCAACCTGTACGGTCCCTGTTATCACGAAAGTTATTTTTCTGGGGTTGCAGACTTAATATACTTCCTTGACCCCAGCCTTTCTCTACTTGCTTCAAGGTTTTCAACACTATTCCACTGCCATCATCTCTGTGGAAGATTAAGCAAATAGAAAAGTCGTCAATAAGAGATACGAGTTAGAAAAAAGGAAACAATAAAACCAAGGAACCATATAACAAAATAAAAAATCACCATCCACTATTATCTAAGAAAGGAGTCTCGACAGCATGTCTAACGAAAATGAAACAGGCTCAACTAGTCGAGCTCTATCTAGGTCATGTCCTATGGTAGAGTTTGATGCATCCAAATGACTATGCTCGGTAATTATGCTATAATTTTGGATGGTCGTGAAACAAGGAATACTACCTAGGGAGAACATAAAGTCTTCACAACTAATTATCAAGTTTAGTCTGGGAACGAAGTTTCCTCGAAATTGTATTATATACTTGCTTCAGCAACAGATACCATAGAGCAGGTTCTATATCATCACCACACCTTCAAGTGATGCCCAAGGACAAGATTGAATTCCCAAAATTTACTCAAAGGTGGAAGCATCAAAAGATGAATCAGACAAACATCACTAGAAATTCTAGCAGTAAAAAAGGGACAACTAACGAATCCCATCACAGTCAAATTCCATTGCAGGCTTATAGAAACACCAGAGAACAGATTATGAGAAACAAATTGAAAAAATAAAGAACTAAAAGCAACTCTTAAATAATGTACCTGTGCACTATGGTCTGCCAATCACTTCCACCATGCTTATTTGATTTCCTGCGATTCCTATCATTTCGGCAAACCTTGTTTGCCACCTTACTCTCCGAAGCCATCTCAAGCATCCTCTCCGCAAGTTCATTAGCCTCATGCTTATTTCCCCTTCTACCAAAGCCATCAATCACTGGCATAAATGATGCAGGATCAAACCCATATCCTTTATGCATCATCTTCTTGAGAATATCTACAGCACCTTCTAAATTCTCATCCTTACAGAGACTGTCAATGAGGTCTTTGTATAGGAAGTTCCCTACGTCAAAACATCTATCCAATGCAGCTTCAAATAATTCTTTAGCTTCTGAGAGTTCCCCTCCCTCAAGTAACTCATTAAACATTGAACTATAAAGTGCTTCCTTGTGGCCACACATACTCAGGGCAATATCAAATACCTCCTGCGCAGGTCTGAACTCGCCTGTCTTGCAAAAGGCTTTGATCAATAATTTAAAGGAATAAATATTAGGGGATATCCCTTTTTGTAGCATTTCATCCAAAAGAGAAGTGGCATTATCAGTTCTCCCTCCTTCACATAGACAGCTAATCATATTATTATACGTACAAACATTAGGAGAAATGCCTCTTTCTCTCATCTCATCCATCAAACCATACATTTCGAATACCTGATTTTTGCTCCCCAACCCAAGGATCAAAGAATTATAAGTTTGTAAGTTCTTACTGAAACCCTTTTTCTCCATGTCCTTGAGAACCCGGAATGCAGATGATATCTTTCCCTGTTTGCAGAAATAATGTATAAAAGTATCATAAACAACTGGATCAGGATTCAAGTTTTTCCCCATCATCTCAACAAACTTCTTTTTAGCTTCACCAAGCCTCCCATCCTTGCATAACCATTTGATTATGGTTGAATATGTGATCAAGTCAGGAAAGCATTTTTTCCCAGTATTACCCGCATCCATTAGCTCAATAAATGACTTGCCAAAGTCCCCAAGAGCAGCATTTCCGTGAGTCCACATTTCACCCACAATTTCAACAGCTTTGTCAACCTTCCCACTTCTACATAGACCATCAATCACAATATTACAGGTCACAGTATCTATGCCATAACCTCTCTCATTCATCTGTTCCAGTAATTTGTATGCTTCTGATATCTTTCCCTCTTTCCACAAGCTGTGCAGCAAAATATTGCAAGTATATGTATTTGGGAGACAACCATTCCTCATCATCTCAGGTAGAAGATTTTTGGCTTCAAGTACCTTCCTTTTTCTGCAGTACCCGTCAAGTAGAGTGCTGTGAGTGACCACATCAGGAGAAATTCCACTACTTATCATTAAACCCATCACCATTCTTGCATCAGCAAGCATCCCATTCTTGCATAACCCATCGACCACAATGTTATAGGAGTATATATTCGGCTCTATGCCATTATCTACCATCTCTTTAAGAACCAATTGAGCCTCTAACAGCTTCCCATTCCTTATCCAACCCAATAACCATAAATTATAAGTCTCCACTTCTGCAATATCAGCGTGCCTTCTCATAGATTCAATCAGTGTATTAGCTTCTTCCAACATCCCTTCCTTGCAGAACCCCTCCAACATCAAATTGTATGTTTTAACATTCGGCCGAGGCAACCCCAACTCCTCATCTATCTGCATATCTCTAAAAATTCTAGAAGCCTCAAGAATCTTTCCTGCACCACAAAGAGCAGAAATCCTAGAATTGAAAGTAACGACATCTGGGAAGAGACCATCCTCTCTCATCCTCTCCACCAATTTCTCAGCTTCATCAGTCTTACCTAGCTTGCAAAAACTCGATATCAAAGTATTGTAAATAACTGTATTAGGAACAATACCGATATCCTTCATAGTATCCAAAAGCTCCAAACCTTGAAAAGCACGCCCAACTTTGCAAAATCCGCGAACCAATATCCCAAAACTGAACTCATTAGGCTGGCAGCCTTTGTCAGACATTTTATCAAACAAGTTACGAGCATCTTCCACACGACCCAACTCGCACAGCACACCAATCAAAAGATTGAAGGTGTAAGTTTCTGGAGCAACGCCGGCAAAAATCAAATCTTCATACAACCAAGAAATATAAACTGCGGAGTTTCCTCGAAGAGAGGACTCGATAAGCGAATTGTACAAGCCTATAGAAGGAGGTTTATCGGGGTATTGGGTTCGAAAGGACTGGAATTGAGAAACGGCCTTATCTAAGTGACCAGATTTCGCTAGGATGTGGACGACGGTGAGCAGGGATTGGTGGTAAGTTTCGAAGGGTTGTGAGAGGAGGATCCGGTGGAGGGTGTCGATTTCGGTGAACATTTTGGCGCGGAGGAGCATACGGGTAATGAGAGGTATCGACTGACGGAAGTGATCGGAGGAACTGGGAGTTGGGACACTGCGTTTGAACAGTTGCCATGCTAATGTTGGGTTGTTTGAGTTCTTGAGAAGAGCTTTGGCCAGCGTTTTAGCTTGGTCCATGCGGTCGATTATCTTTCTTTGATTTGAAGGTTGGTTATCAAGTGGCGGGCCGGAGAGTGAGTTATGCTGAAACCAAATTGGGGAAGCTCCATGTCTTGTTCCACTGAAATTTTTCTGGCAGACTTGGCTGCCATTGCATTGAATTGATGATGGCCTGGAGATAGACTCACCATCGCCATCAGGTTATAGTGGCTCTAAAAAAAAAGTCCAATAGTCTAGGCTTAGGTCTAAAGGACTATTAAGTCAAGGCCCAGTATGATCTTTTTAGGTTCAGATACCTGTTTGGCTGTTTTCGTTCAAATTTTTAGTGAATAATTCATCATTAAAGAGTGATAAAATAAAACCATTTGTATACATTGATTTTACTTAAATGTATGATATACCATCTGCAAAGAAGAGAATTGAATATATATATATATATATATATATATTGAATAAAATCTCTCCTAAATTACCATATGTATTGAAGATAAAAATGTATGCGTCCCACTCCAAGTCCCAATATGCCATCTTTCTTTAGTTCACTACAAGAGAGCTACTGAGCTAGCTGATCAGATCCGAAGTCCTAAAATAAGGTTTTTTGTTCCCTAATTAGTCAGTATATGGGGACACTTGAACAATAAGGCCCAATGTGGTGTTAATAACTAATTCACAAGCAGTTTCATCGTTTTTCCTCCAACTTCATGCACATGTGCAGCTGCTCAATAAAAAGGCATATCTCATCTGACAATGCCTCTTGCTTATCTCCAGCCACAAATCGACATGCTTTATTATTAACATGCACCAAACTGTAACCAGCCACAACTCCCACCCTTCTCTCCTTTGCCAACCCTCTCAGCCTTGCGGCATCAGCCCATGACCCCCCCATCGCATGCATATTTGATGCAAGCAAATACCCTGCAGAGCTTGATGGCTCCAATTCAACAACATGAGAAACAGCTCCTGCACCAAGCTTGCTGTCACCATAGCTCCTGCAAGCACTCAAGAGTGCCCCCCAGGCGCTGGCACTAGGCTTCAATCCATCAGGCATCTTCTCTAACAACTCCAATGCGCTATCAAGCCTTCCTGCCCGACCCAGTAAGTCCACCATGCACGACAAGTGCTCTAACCTCAGATCAACCAGCTGATCCTGAGCCAACTCTCTGATGAAAGCAAGTCCCTCCTCAACTAAGCCCCTGTGGCTACATGCAGATAACACCGAGAGAGTTGTTACCGCATTTGGCTTCAGACCATGCACTTTCATTTCGGCAAGCAAAGCTAGAGCATCACAGGCAAGCCCATTCACACCATATGCTGCAATCATGGCACTCCAAGACACGATGTTTTTCTGGGTAATTTGATCAAAGGCCTTTCTCGAGGCTTCTATTGCCCCACATTTGGAGTACATATCTAGAATTGCAGTTCCAACTGCTACTTCTGATGCCCATCCTCTTCGAAGTGCAATACCATGGGCCCACTTCGATCTTTTCAGATCAGCCGAAATGGAGCAAGCCTCAAGAAGATTTAACACGGTAATGGCGTTGGGCTTTTGTTGTGCCCAGTTCATCTCATGAAAGAGTGTGATTGCCTCATCAGGCATACCACAATGGGTGAACCCAGCAATCATTGTGCTCCAAGTAACCGTATCTCGTGTCTTCATCTGACTGAATAATCTCCACGCAAAATTGATAAGATCACACTTAGCATACGCATCAACTAAAGCATTTATCATTACTTCATTTGATTCGCAACCTCGCTGGATTATCACAGAATGGATGAGCTTGCACTGAAATGGGTCTGCATAATACTTGCATACTTGAAGAAGATTCACGAGAGTCACCTCATCAGCCACGATTCCTGCCTTGCCCATCGAATCAAACAGCATAAGAGCTTCAGAATGCTTCTCAGTGTGGACAAATCCAGATAATAGAGAATTCCACGAGACAACATTCCTTTGGGGCATCTCACTGAATGCTTTGAAGGCGGAATCAGTGTCATTACACTTGGAATACATATCAACTAAAGAGTTCCCTACAAATAAATCGTAACCAAAACCTCTACAGATTACAAATCCATGGACCAATATTCCAAAGCGAAGGTCCCCTAAACTAGTGCAGGCCTTGAGTGCATTTACCATTGTTTGGCCGTCTGCTTCAATTTCAGCCTTTGATACCATCTCCTGAAAAAACACCAAAGCAAGTTGAGCTTCCTCGCTTTGCACATAGCCACCTATCATCACACTCCAAGAGATCACATCCCTGTCACACATTTCATCAAAAAGCTTGTGAGCAAGCTCCATTCCGGTATCTGCATACATACTCAGCAGAGAGTTCTGGACTGAAGAAACAGTCCAAAAGCCACTTTGGATTGTATAACCATGTATTTTCAGTCCATCGTGGACAGCACTCAGATTGCGGCAAGCCTGAATCACAAGCACCAAGGTAGAAATGTTGGGTTCGAATCCCGTGATCCGAGCTTCCTTAAAAAACCACACCCCTCCTTTGAAAGCTCCTTGATCAAGGTGCCCATGAATCATTATGTTCCATGAAACTGAATCTCTGCAGATCATGCAATCAAAAGCACAGAGAGCAGAATCCAAGGCTCCTGATTTTGCATAAAAGTCCATGATGGAATTCCCAATAGAAGTGAATGAGTCGAAGCCGTCCTTAATCAAAGATGCATGAATGGACTTTCCGAGGCTGAAGGAGGAGAGGTTTATACACGCTTTGAAGATGAGAGAGAAAGATGAAGGGTCTGTCAGTTTAACTCCTGCTTTCCGCATTTCGTGGTAGTGGGAGAAAACCTCTTGCCATTTCCCAGCAGATGATGATGACCCTTTGATTATTGAAAACCAATTGTTGGGGAATTTTGAGATGATCGAGAAACGCATTGCCAGGGAACAAATGCAAGGACTTGGTTCAAGAGGATGAAGTCCTCCAAGCTCATGACTGGGTGTTTTCACAATTCAACAGATAAGACTCAACACTCTTCCATACTATAACACTCTCTCCTCTGAAAGATGGATGGGGATGAGACAGAGATAGAGATATAGATAGAGGCAGAGGACTCTCCACAATGGCAAGCTTATATACAAATACAAAGTGCAGCACCTTATTAATGTCAGGATGTATGAGAGCCAAACTTATCCTCCCCCGAACCAAAAATGTACGTGTAGCAGATGAGTAGGAGGGGTTCTTTGGCCTACCATGAGTGGGTATATAATCATCACCAACCTAACCTGACCACAATACTGTTCTTCATGAGCCTTAATGGAAAAACAGAAGAATTCCTTCATAGTAAAGTGAAGCTGCCTCGAGGAGAAAACTCGGCAATTGCAGACACCAAATGGCAACCACCACTTAAGGAATGGGTAAAGATCAACTGTGATGGGGCTCATCTGCACAGGAGCAAGGAAGGAGCATATGGAATTATGGTTCAAACCTATGAAGGATCCTTCATTACTGGTGAAGCTCAAATCTTTGATGCACCATCTCTGCCTTAGCTACTTACTGAGGCCCGTGCAGTAAGGAGGCATTGGAGCAGGAGTGGAGTACCAACGCAAGGACCCTGAAACTACGATAAGGGATATAGAGCATCAATACAACAGAACAGGATATTCGCACCATGCACAGCAGATTCTCCACTTCAGTTCCAGGCTGAGAGGAGGACCCAACATAAACAAATGGCTGCTCACACTTTAGCAGTTCAAGCTGGAAGAGGCAACCTTTCTCCGCATTTGCTAGGAAACCTCCCACTCTGTCTGAGGAGTGTTCTTAGGAATGACTATGAGGAAAGAAATGGTGTCGGTTTATATGCACAAGTTTTTTAATTGGAAGTTATATCATTAATGCTAAGTTGTATTTCTGACCCCCAAAAAAAAAAAACCCATGGGAAGCAGCACGTGAAGGAATGTTGCCTGGATAGTCTAAATACAGTTTTGAAATACATCTGTGCTTGAAGTCAATGCAGCAAAACACAAATCCTGGAGGTGCCCGTAGCACAGGGAATGCAGGGTATTTCGCCTGTCATTCTGTGTTCATGTCCATCGACTTGGCACAAACAACAAATTTGTACCAACAAGATTACGTGCCAACGTCTGACAACAAGAAGGCCTTTTTTAAATTTGTATACAAGAAAACAATGAAAATAACTATTACATGACAGAGTAAACACTAAGAGAAGAATGTGAACCACTACTCGTTAATTTTGCATAGTTGAAGATGTGGGTTATCAAACATTAAAAATCTAGACCAATATGATTTGTACTTGGCGATAGCAAGATTCAACCACGGTTTGTAGTTTCCATTGTAATGGACCACGGCTGCATTCTCTATGGCTGATTGATTAAGGGCTGGATCATAGCCAAGTCCCAACACATGCCAGCTCCGATCCAGTGGATAGGTCAGGTTGTAGAAAGTAATCAGTCCTGGAGGTAGCGTACCAAGTTTCCAAAGAGTTCTGTCTACATTCTGCAAAATAATTTCTCCACGAGTTAGAAGCCCACACAATAATGGATTATATCATGGATAATTTAAAAGGGGAAAAGAAATTTTGAGCGGACTAGACAGGAAGCTGTAACTGAAATGTTTTACTTTGATTAGACTTCCGATAAAAGCAAATCCTATGAACTGCCTGTAGATACAAACTGCAACTAGAAACAAAGTATTAAAAGTGCTAGTTAGAAATTAAAGTGCTAATAAATTGGTCACATTCGAGAAGAAGACAATATAACAGAAGTCAGATTTCTTGGGGGGGGGGGGGAAATCATGGGATTTGACAGGGAAAGAAGAAAGGACAAGACGCCATTAGGACTCAACCGATGAAAAGATGTGGAGCCTATATACGCCTGAAAATTCTTGTCAATATTTGAACCCCTCATTCATAACTCCCTTTACAATAGTGAAATACTTCCGAAGCATCCTCAAACTTCAAAACTCTACCTGATGGAAAGAATAATGTCAATAATTCTAATAACCTTATAATGTCCATCTTAGAACCCATTGCAGTTTTCTCCAAAAAGTATCAACTATATTTAGTGTTTGGAAAAATAGTCCTTAACATTAACCTATAGGCCGGTAGGCAGTAGCAAATGCCACAATGTTGTGACCTAGGCTTGCATAGATGCATATAGTTAAGAAAAATGTGTGCAAATGTGAACAGAAGCATATCTCAACAACAAAACCTGCAGAATAAAGCATCTCAAAAAATGTGGTCACCTTATTTAGTTAAGGGCACAAATGGGAAGGGGATCATGAACAATGACGATCACTTACCATATCTTGCCACCTATGATATATTCCAGTAATGTCCTGCTTCCTCCACTCATTCAAATCAAAAATATTCATGCCAAATGCCCAACCACAAGCATTTGGATCAAATTTCTCAGAGATCTTCGGATTGGAGAAGTTCAGATACTTATCAAACCTGTGGAAGCTCTCCTTGCAAGTTTCCACTGCACCATTCACCATCCCTTGCAGATTAACAGACCAAAGAGGTGTCAGATCCTTTTGAACTACAATGTCATCATCCAGAAACAGGATTTTGTCCAGTTTTGGGTATACTTCAGGCAGATAGAATCTAAGATGATTCAGCATGGACAAATATTTTGGGTTCCTATACTTGAGATTGTCAGTCCCAGCAGTGAGGGAAGACGCTTGATGTGCCTTAAAATAATATTCTTTCATTCGGGCAGATTCAAGCTGACGTAGAACAGGACAGTAAGAAGAATTGAGCCATGTGAAATCATCTACATTCTCAACTTGGATTGCTGCGCTTGCAGGAGGGTTGGCAAGAAACCACATCTTCATTGCTGCAAAGTTTAACTTATCTGTTACAATATGAAAAACATGCTTTTCAGGCTCCTTTGCATGCAGCACTGTTGAATTTACAACAACAGATGTTGCCAGTACATTATCAGAAAAGATAGCGTAGTGGTACAGAGAAGGATCTTCAAGTTTTTCTTTGTTAGGAAATCCCTTGTTTTCATAACCCTGTAGGAAATAATCTGTTGTGAGTAGTAAAGGAAGACAATACAATGGCCTGGGGAGTGTTTTTGCAGCTAGCTGTATCAAGAATGCACTCTTTTTCTTCAGTGCATCCACGTTCACTTCTGTTGACTGAAGCATGGCCCTTAACTTCCGTGCTACTGTAAGACAGTCATATAATTGGTCCTTAGCTACAGAAAGAATGTGACCCATTTCTTTTGCTCGATCAAGCGCACTGAATCAGGGTGGAAATCGAAAATCCACATAAGAACGAAAAGACAGCATGTATGCGTAGTAAATCAGGAAAAATTAAGTAGTCCTACCTTGGCTGAAGTTCAGCATCAGAAGTTGCTTCTTCGATCGCTCTTTGATTTTCTCTAGCATGTTTTAGCAGAGAATCATATAGCACAGAATGATTCTTAGCAGTTGCAATGCTAGCATAAGCCCTTGCCATGATAATCTGATCGTGCATAAGTTTCAAGATAGTATCAGACACGGGGTTTTCATATTCTATCCTCCATATATTATATTTGCCCTTGACAGTAGTGTCAAGCTCTTGTACTCGTTCAATGGCTGCTGCTTGCATCTGGCTTTCAATCTTTTTGTCTTGCCGGATTAGCTCTGCAGTTCGGCGGTCCCTCCTCTCCTGGCGTAACATCTGCAGTGCAAGAAGTAGTCATCAACCAAATCAACTGAGCAGAGCCTATGTAATGACAGAGGAAGAATCATTTGGCATTTCACCCTGCGCTTGAGCTTCACTGGGTGCATTGGAGATATTTGTGAATGCAGCATGTCACCTCCAGATTGATGCTCATCTGTAGAATCCTCGACCTCAAAACTCATATCAGGCTGAGATGGATCTTCTGGCATCTGAGAGTATATGATAAATGAGAAAAATTCTTAGTTAATGGTAATATCAATAATCAGCTATTTGAACAAGAAAAAAAAAGTTATATTTGAGCCAGGAATTTAGCAAAAAACTGTATACCGTGGAACTTTTTGTCTGATCATGTTTTTTATCAATAGGATTTTGCCAGACCCAGGAAGCAGATAAGTCCCTGGACTTCACATTCATAATTCGAACAGCACCAGAAGAGTCGGTGTATGTCACAAGTATGTCAATGCCCTGCATAAAATATAAGGGCAGAAGCATCATTATACTGATATCTTATACAAAGAGAACACAAAAAGTCCATACCTGGTCATCAGGATGATTGCCTACTCCAGCAGCAGATTTTATGTGGACTTGTTCCTGCCCAAGTGCAAAATATGTATATAATTATCAGATTAAGGTGTTGACAATGGGGGGTATGTGTCTCGGTAAGGGTGGTTACTAGGACTTATATTCAGTTATATTACAAGCTACCATCAGCCCATCACAAAATGTCACAGTAGTCTCGCTTAAGTCCTTTCTCAGATAGTCCCTACAGATTAGCAAGCTATATAGACAGAAAAATGGAAAAATCCACTTACACAGAATGCATACAAGCCAAAGGCCCAAAAAAAAAAAAACTGGCGGCTGCAAATGAATAAAGATAAATCAACAGGACTTCAACTGTAACAAATTCAATGCAGAACAATGCCTAATTTGCTACAAGTGATACAAACTGCCAAGTAAGCATACGCTGTATGATGAGGTTCACTTGTGAGAAAGACTATCTACATATCTGGATTTGTACAGATCACAAGTAAAAGGATGAACATTTGTGATTTACTGAAAAGAAGGATGAGATTGGTACCTTTGTACCAATACATTGCGGACAATCATATAAGGGCCAGTGTCCTTTGAGCTCCCTATGACTGAAATAAACAAACAAACAAAAAAAGAAAAGAAAAGGGACGATATACAGCAAACAATATTACAGTTACGTGAATACTGACCAACAGCAAGTAGCAACACTGCAAATAGTTTAGTAAACAGTACAGGTATGCATGCATCTTTGTTATATTCAGGTCCATATAACAAAAAAGTGATTAGATGCTTATGAGTGATCTTACACTGTTAAATTATCTGATATATCTGCTCTGACTAGAGCAATATGAAGCAAGACCTGTACAGATACAGTTAGAAATATTAGACAACATTTTATAAGACTGACATTCAATCTTGGGTTGGATAACTTATCCACCTATGATTGGTTTGTAATTCTTTCCCTTTCATTAGCAATAACATTGTTGTTTCTTATTGAAAAAAAGAAATATTAGACAACAACAACATTAAAAAGAGGAACACAAGCAAAGTATACAAAGAATGAGCGGGCAGAGCAAACTTAAAAATGCATGTTCAGATTATGATTAAAAATATATTTATAAAAAAAAAAAACCCAAAAAATAATAGTGATAAAGTAAGTTAATATTGCGATCACGTGGGAGTCGTTGAACTATAAATTATCTTAGTTTATCATTCCAAACATCCTGAGGGATCTAACGATTAGTACTGCTGATCTTGCACAATTGAAAACCCTAGATTTGTCTTGCCCTAGTAATACTATACTAATCTAACGAACAAGCTTCTATTATGAGACGGGATTAATTGAAATGAATAAGTTTACTTAAGCGAGCGATCCGAAGAAGGCGATTACAAAATGACCAGAAGATCATTAGCACAGAGAGAGAGAGAGAGAGAGATAATTACCAGGAAGACGAAGATTATTAGCATAGATACAGTTTTCAATAACCTTCTAGAAAGAGCTTTCATGGCGTGCCGCAGAGATAGATAAAAAGAGAGGGCAGACTCGGAGAGATCCCAACGGTGACTTTTGAATACTATTGTGGTGGTGGGATCGGAAAAGAGGTGTGTGCCTCGGCTGTCAGCTTGTCCGGTTTTTATTTTTGGTAACTCCTCGGTGTTTACCAATTTTTTATACCAAATTTTTTTATCAAATTTTTGTTTCAAATAATGTGCAACAATTTTTTACCATTAAATAAATATGTTTCATTAATATTCAACAATCGAAATCAAGTCTATCTAATACATAGTCCCATGTTGACTTCCAAAGCTCTATTATTAGAAGGAAATCCTCAGCCATACTTCATTTGAGTGTAGGATCGGGCATGTTAAACTCGTTCCTACCAGAGGCAACCAGTGGCTGGGAATAGTGGGGGTGATTAGACTATGGATTAATAATAAACCCACACAACACATCCCATGCCAACCCAGAAAAAATGCTAGATAAAGTTGGTCAGTTTAGGTATGAAAGAAGTGGCCAAAGCAAAGTAACCAGTATGCAATGCATTACATGGGTTGAAGGGTTTTTGGCCGTTTCTAGATGGCCTTCATTACATTATGAACGCAATAAAAACCTACAAATAAAGACATGCGAAGTCTTTTGCTGATGCTACTTGAGGAGAGCTTTAAAAGATACCAAATGAAACAGCTTTGGACAGTTTGCTGTGTTACGAGCCCATGAGAATATCATAAGGCTCTGATGAAAAAACCATCCAAATAGGGATTAGCGGGACTGGTACAAAACGTCGAGAACCCTGTTTCTCCTTCTCTGGCTGTGTCTATTTGCATTTTGTGTGGGTTTGTAAACCAAAAGACACCATTATTTGATGCCTTTATTTCAGTTGAAACAATGTAATCATCCCACAGTGATCACCATCACAACCAAATAATCCTTTTATTGACATTATCCCAAAATTTGAGGCTAAACAGGAGGATGCAAGAGTTCTAGCGCACAAATAAAATTCTCCCTAATTTATGAATAGTGGCTTTGCTAACAAATCATCAAGCAAAGCTCACTATACGGGCAAAAATAATTACAGTTTTACTTCTAGCTTTCTCATCTTGTTCAATAAAAGCCACCATCACAACAACTACAAGAAGAACATAACTCATTACAGTGAAACAATTAGGACAATTGTTCAGAGGGCTGCTGTCCGCGTGCATTTGGGTAGTATGGAGGTTACCATGCCCGTGGAGCCTGTTGGTAGGCTCGATTTCCACCTTGTCTAGGGTGAAGGGGTGAAGGATGGTGCAAAGATGGCTGGCTATGTCGATAAGCTGTCGGATGTGTAGTGTTTATTCTAGGCACCTTTGGTTTTTCTTTAGCAGAATTAATTCGTTCCAGCGTCTCTACAACTTCTTTCATCGATGGTCTGGTTTTTTGTTCAGGTCCCAGGCATGCTAAAGCAAGTTGCGCTATTTGTGCCGCAGCCTTGGAAGGATATTTTCCTTCCAACCGGGAGTCCAATATGTCCTTCAACTTTCTTCTGTGAGATAAAAGTGGCTTGACCCAAACAATCAGATTATGCTGCCCACTCGGACGATTTGTATCTAGTGCTCGTAAACCAGTTAGCATTTCAACCAATACAACACCAAAGCCATACACATCGCTCTTCACGTACAAATGCCCTGTTTGATAAGCATGAGATTAAAATTGTGGCACATCTTGAGTGAGTTTAGCTAAGTTTATCTTCAGACCACGCAAGCTTAAAAACACTTGACAATGGTCATCACTGAACCTCAAGTAGCGAAGCGCAAAAGATTCCTGGGGTTACCTGTAGCAACATATTCAGGAGCAGCGTAGCCATATGTCCCCATAACCCTTGTTGTCACATGTGACTGGCTAGCCGAGGGCCCCATTTTTGCCAATCCAAAGTCTGATATCTTGGAATTGTAGGACTGGAACATAATTAACAAAAAGATAAAAGTGAACAAACAAATAATTGTTAAGCCAGACTGGCCAGTACCACGGATGTGTCAATGACCGAATCAGTCAGAGTAAAACTTGTCAGTTGTCACATTAGTATGGCGAATAGAAAAAGGGTTCCATTATGAAATAGGCTTGTGATCTATAAATATTAATGCTCCTGATTTATAAACTGTGTAGAGCTTACCCCATCAAGCAAGATATTTGAGGCCTTGAAGTCTCTATAAATTATTTGTGTCTCTGACGTGTGCAAGAATGCCAGGGCTCGAGCTGCTCCTATTAATATCTTAAGCCTTATGTCCCATGGCAGTGTCTGAACAGCTGAGCTCCCTGCAAAAATCAAAGCACAAAGAAATCAACTCGTTTGATTTGTAGAACATAAAAATGTATTCCCACTGGCTTAGTGCTTGCAAGTCTGAAGAAATAGCATCACATTTTAGTAATTCTTACTTCCAAAAAGATGGTTCTCCAAGCTGCCTTTTTGCATGAATTCATAGACAAGTAGTAGCTCTCTCTCCTCCCAACAGTATCCCAATAACTTAACAAGGTTAGGGTGGGAAAGCCTTCCCAGGAAGTTTACCTCAGACTGCACAAATAAAAAAAAAACAGCAGACAGCATTCAGAAGCCCTTAGATGAATCGCCTAAAAGGCGAAAAAAATTAAATTACTGTAATCAAAACTGGTTCTGTGGGTGTCAGTGCAGGGTATGATCCAATGGTATTGGATGTCAACAACTTACAGATCGTCCAGTCCTATTTCCTGCAAAACTAAAACTGATAATTAATTGACCGAATTTTCCAAAAAACTATAGGAATTACATCAAAAATAACTCAATGACAGCCAACTGAAAAATTCAACAACAAATTTCAACCTGTACCAAGTTTGATTGATGTGATTATGTTTCAGCACGTTTTCTGACATGTCTCTGTTCCTAAACGAAGGGTTTATAAACGCATCACTAATGTTCTACGCACCTCATTTGTGTATTACCTCAGCATATACCATTAGATTAGTAGGTCCTACATAATTTATTAAATATTCAATTTCTCTGAATGTGCCACATCTGGTGGTGTAAGAGAGGTGGTGTCCACAACATTATTCTAAAAGAATGGGAACCCAAAGGCCAAAAAGACAAAAGGAACCACAGGGAAACAGCTACACCATTCTTTTACAAGATGTTTCACCCCATGCCGAATGGTATTTGAGAAAAGCAAGTAGGATAGGACCCGCTTATGACTTGTTTGATCATCTTAGAAACAACAATGCAAGACAGAATCTAGAAATATTCCTGACTTTTTTTTCATATTTCAAATTATAGCAGAAGCTGGTTTTATTTGACTCAAAAATTTCAACACTGCATATTCATCCACCTCACCTGTGAGCTCATTTGAAAAATAGGAACTTAACAAAACAAGCTCCTAGAATGGAAGTTTTTGAATTGGTTACATGGCATTACGTTTTGCAACTCAAACATCGTCATTATTCAAGTAGCCTCCACAGCATTTTCAATTTCAAACAATTCGAACGCCACATGATTTCTTAATTATACCATGGGAATCCCTTATATTATTTGGTGGTAGATAGAAAGGAAAGACACACTTAAGTAGTATATCAATTTATGCACTCACTTGGCCTTTCTCTTAATTTTCAAGGGTTTAGAGTTGACTTTTTTGGGTGCAAAATTGAGGTTTGAAAATGTATTGAAAAAGTCACCTTCTGTTGAGAAAATGAGATGCAAAAAATAAGGTGAATGGGCAAAGTGTGAAAGGTGAGGTGCGGATTAGGTTACTCTCTTAAGATAATTGAATGGGCAAAGTGTGAAAGGGCAAAATGAGGTGCGGATTAGGTTACTCTTTATGTGCCCCTTTATGAAGAATCACAATGTAAAAAGTAATAATGCGTCGTCATCAGGATACAACAATCCAGTCTATTGACTGTTGCTTCACTCAAATCTACATAAATCAAATAAAACAGAAACTTCACACACTTTTGAATATTACCCAGAAACTTATACAGTAGAGAGATAGTAGATGTCAGATTGTATGTATTCTATATTGAAATATATATATATATATAATATAAGTGTTTAATAGTCCGTAATTACTTCTATATTTAATTAGATAATAACTTAAAAAATATGATTGTTGGAGCTTTTAGTATTCCGCAACTGAAATTTTAATATAGAAGTAATGACGAAAAAATAATTAAATAAAATATTAAAAAGTGAATTCATAGTTTTTAGAAATCCGTATTTCCTCGGCTACCCTTGCGCACGTGAGAGTCCTAAGGTGCAGATAACACTAGTATATATATATATATTCAAGTACTTTTAAATATTTAGTCGATGTGGGATTAAATTCTCACACATAAAAAATACTCTTTTAAATAAAATACTCTAACAACTTCTAAAAAATTCTTGAAACCGTTTGGGATATTCTAAAAAAAACTGATATAGTTGAAAATTTCTATTTAGGGAGACTTTTTAGGATTTTTGGCTTTTTGTGTCAGCATAAAAAAAAAAAAATCACACATATGTATAGATTATGCCTGATAGTTCCAAAAATATGAATTTTAATTTTTTTTTTATGTGACTACTAACTAATAATATTTTATAAATATAATAAATTAAAAAGTTAAATAGAATCCGCGAAAAAACAATCTCCTAAAAGACCGATAAAAATAGCTTCAAAAAAGCTTTTCAAACCGGCTTTTCTAGGTCAAAAACCGTATGAAAGGTGATGAAAACGCCAGGGGCCAAACGCGGGGGGGAGGCAAAGCAGCGCTGGGTCCAAACATGTCATCAACTAGCCAACCAACCAAATAAATTGAAGTGAAGCAATCAAACTAGTTTATGAAAATTGTTTCTTCAGAACCCCCCACGGGGCGGGTGACTTACCAATTTCTATTAGCTACTGATAAATGCACTACAAATAATATTAGGCAGGAAACAGAAAAAAAATAAGATGGCAGATAAGTATACATAGAGATAGAGTCAAGAAATTATTTATACCCACTACTATTCCTATTAGAGTAGAATTGAGTTGAGTTACCTTCCACTCTTGGAACCCTTGCATGCTTTCAGGATTCAACTTCTTGACAGCAATGACAGATGATCCACTACCATTTTTTGAAGTTGACTTGTCATCAAGCCAACCCTTGTATACCTTGCCAAAACCTCCTTCTCCCAACACTGTATCACTTCTGAAGTTTCTGGTTGCAGCCTTTAGTTCTGCAAAAGAGAATATCCTCAAGTTGGGAGTGGCCAAGATCTGCCCATTCGGATACAACATGTCATCGCCTCCGCTGGCACTCCAAAACCGGCTATTACCGGATCCGTTGCTGCCTTCAATAGAGAATATCCCTGCTTTAATATTAGCCGTCAGAAAAGAAAAAGCAATTTATAAGTCGATCAGTCATAATTCAGGGCACTCTGGGTATGATTCTACAACTATAAAGAAAACCATCACATCAGCTTCAGAAACACTTGATTTAGTGTAATAATCGATCCCTCCAAGCACTAGTAGCGAAACACTTGGTTTTCTACCTTAACTACCGGCCTGTAATTGACACCAAATCATTCGCAGCGAACGTAATACAGAAGCTAACGAAATGAAGATGGCATCAACAGAGGCAAAAAAACCCACAACAACAACCCGATCAAACTGAAGGAACATTCCCTGAAACTAAGAAAGAAGGAAAAATCCAAAAATGGAGCAAATTCAAGGTATATAACACCAAGTCCGAGAGATAAAGTTAAATTCTAATCTGGGGTACCTGAACTAGAATGGCCCGTTGTAGTAGGGCTGTGGTTAACAGAAGAAGAACTGAAGCAAGTCCCCATATGACACTCTCTTTCTCTTTCTGTTGCATCCCCTATTAAGAGACAGAGATGGACAGGGTAGAGAGAGAATAAGGTTCTAGTACTTGGTTGAAATTGACGATGAATGCTAAAAAGTGTTAATTAGCCAAAAATAAATGTAGCAATGTGGACTTAAAACAGCTCAACAGTCTAAAAAAAATTAAAGTTTAAATGCATATTCTTGTTGGATCAGTGAGTACATAAACTTTTTCAATAAAATTCACTTATTCGATACTCATTTAAAAGATAATATATATTTGAATTACAATTTTTGAATTATAGATTGTGTAATATTTTTCTAAAAATATTAACTTGATTAATTTAATTATAAATCAAAATCTACTATTTATCCAATAATCGTCATTAATTAAATTAATATTTACATTTCAAATAAAAATAGCAATGAGCAGAAATTTTGGATTTCTACAGGTAAACGCTGGTCAAGTCAAACAACCATAAGTCGCCAGTCCTCCTCCTCCTCCTCCTCCTCGCTATTGGAAGGGAGAAGACATCTAAAGAAGACAACACCACTAAGACATTTGGTGTTTTCCTATCTAATTCATATGCATGCTTCAGTCGTTGTCATAACTTCGGTACGTGTATGTATTCCATTTCAATATTATTTGTCGTCCTTTTATGGGGAAGGGCGGGAGGAAGGGGATTCAAGTCCATGCCAACCTGCAATGAAATTAAATGCATAGAATTGGTCAAAAGAATAGGAAAACTTAGCTGAATTGCTAAGGCATTTTTGTTAGGTAGGTAGCCACTTTTTGATGATTATTTAGTAGTATTAGTATGGTAGGAAGACGTTTTGCATACTTTTTTGTAATTAATAATTAATGAATGTGGGATGCCTACCAAGAGTATGTGTTGACTGGCTGATAATTAAGGAATCAATAAAAAAAACTGAAGAGTATGTATAATTTTCCACAACAGGATTTTCCATCTGTTGTAATTACTCATGAATTTCATGTAGCTGGGTGGGTGTGGTCGTCTTTTCTGCCATGCAGTTTCCCAGATGGAGCTGGTTGGACTCCTTTGCCCAACAAAACATTCTACACGCTTAAGCTTCTTTATCACCATGAGAAACCACCTTAATTTTTAAACAATCATATTTTGACCCAAATACCAACACCTCGCTATCCAAAAATAATGATAAATAATACCATGAATGAATAGCCACTCAATTCCAAACTTTACACACACACACACATATATATGTGTGTGTGTGTGTGTGAACTTTCAACCCCCTCTCTCTCTGATTTGCTCAGCAGAATCTAGAAGAAAAAAAAAATACTTCATCAAAGGGGAAAACAACTAAAGGTGAAAAATAAATATTCTAAAACGAAAATAAGTAATTTATATAATAAAATAGCTTACAATTCAAATCTCAAAAAATAAACAAAATGACTTTTACTTTTCACGGTTTAGATCACTTTAAAGTTAATTTAACAGTTAATATTAACAATCTAAATTTAATGAAAAAAATAGGTCTCTAATGATATGTTTGGAGTGACTTTTTAAAAGTATTTATAAGAATTATTTATCATAAATACTTTAAAAAAAACAGTGTTTGAAATCGTCTCACCACTACCTCTACCACTATCACCTCCACCCCCACCACTACTACCTCTACCACCACCACCTCAACCAACGTGGTTGCCGCCGCCACCACCCCCACCCCACCCCACCACCACCGTCGCCACTGTCACCATTACTATCACCTTCGCCACCACCGTCGTTGCCACTATCATCACCGTCACTGTTACCATCACTTCCACCACCACCATCGCTACCGTCGCCACCACTGCCACCATCACCATCTCCTACTACCACCACTGTCTCCCACCACCTCTCACCCTTACTATAACCGATATTTAAATTCATTTATCTCTTCTCTACCTTTGTGATTTGATTTTGGATATGAATACAAATATGTTTATTGTTTATCATTTTTTTATTACTATGTGCCTTCAGGCACAGGCAATAACTAGTCTATATAATAAAGTAGCTTACAATTCAAATCTAAAAAAATAAACAAAATAACTTTTTTTTTCGCGGTTGTGATCGCTTTAAATTTTACTTTAAAATTAATCTAACAGCTAATATTAACATCCTAAATTTAATATGAAAAATTGGTCCCTAAGTATGTATTTGGAGTGACTTTTTAAAGTACTTTTAAAAATTATTTCTCATAAATACTTTCAAAAAAATAGTGTTTGAAACTGTCTCACTACTACCTCTATCACCCCCACTCCCACCCCTACCACCACCATTAACGCCACCACCACCGCCCTCGTCGTCGTCGCCGCCACCATCACCCTTGTCGCTGTCGTCGCCACCACCGCCATCCCTACCACCACCACCACTGTCATCGAAGTCGCTGCCACCACCACCACCACTGTCGTCACCGCCACCACCACCACCCCCACCCCTACCACCACCGCTGTCACTGTCACTATTACCACCACTGCCGTCCACTACCTCTCACACCCTACTACAATTGATGCTTAAATTCATTTATCTCTCTTCTTTATTTATGATTTAATTTTGGATATGAATATACACATATGTTTATTATTTATCATTTTTTATTATTCTGTACTTTCAGATACAGACAATAACTAGTATGTATATATATATATATATATATGAACTTTCACCCCTTCTGATTTGCTCAATAGAATCTAGAATAAAATAAAATACTTCATCAAAGGGAAAACAACTAAAAGTGAAAAATAAATATTCTAAAAGGGCTCTAATGCTAAGTATGGCTGTATTGATTAGACCTTGCTACGAGTAGGAGATGATCTAATGACCGGCTTGATGTTCAACTCAAGTGGAACTAAACCACACACACATCCCAAATCTAGTAGGAATTGTTTGAACTTTGTATTGTCCTTGCGTTGTTCAATAAGTCAGAATATTCTTAAATTAAACAATTTGAAGTCACTAAATGAACAGAGTTGATGTTGGTTCTAAAAATTGTGTCAACAACCCGAGAGAGGACTGAAGACCATTCCCATTTAGCGTAAGTTAAATTATAGTTGAAAGTGATTCACAATGGCTTTTGAACTCTCAATCAAAAGATGCAACTAAAGCAATCCAATAGGATATATGGTAATATGCTGAACAACTCTCTTCAATTCCATTTTAAAGCAATCTGTCGATCAGTCAACCAGAGAGTTTATATGTAATATTTCAAATATCAGGGGATCTGAGTGATTAAATGATGAACCTCAAGAAATTTGAATGTAATTCTCACAAAGAAGAGAAATAAAGGGGTTGTTTGGTACATGGGTATGGGGGGCTTGGCAAGATTGATTTGGAAAAAATAGTCCAAAGGATCCCAAAATCTCATGTGTTGTATGGAAAATTCAGTCTCGTGTTTCCAAACCCTGCCCGTAGCTAACTCGAATGTTAAACTCATGATCATGAGTTTCATCAAACCTAGGGAATGAGTGGGTTTGGGAAGATGGGTAAGGGGTTAAGGATTTAAAAGACAATTGTACCTCTTAACATGAGTATGAATTGAATTGATTAAGGATAAATAGTCATTTACAGGATTTTTTTTAATTGCTAATAATTATGATATATTCGTGAGTCATACATGTGTATATGCTGTATATCAAACATGGGTATGAACCGTATTAAATGTTGAATCTCATTTATGTAAAGAGAGGCTTGAGTTTGGAAATAACCCTCTTCAAAATTCATCCAAACAAGCCCTTAAAGTTTTTGGGTTGGTTTATGGCAATGGACGGTCTATGCGAAGAGAAAAGATGAAGGAAAATTAAGGGATGTTTGGTAAAGGGGTACGGGGCTTGGCAAGGTGGGTCTAGGAAAAATAGTCCAAATGACCCCTAAATCTTATGTTTGTATGAAAAATTCAATCCCGAATTTTCAAATCCGGCCGTAGCTAGCTCAAAAATTAAACTCATGATCATGAATTTTGTCAAACCTAGGGAGGGAGTGGTTTTGAGAAGATGGGTAAGGGGTTAAAGATCCAAAAGATAATTGTACCCCTTAACATGAATATGAATTGAATTAATCAAGGGTAAAATAATCATTTATAAGACAAATAATTGTTAATAATTATGATCTATTCATGGGTCCTACATGTGTCTATGTTGCATACCAAACATGGGTATGAACCAGTTATATGTTTTACAAAGGGCCGAGTTACCCATGAGTCCCCTTATTCGACCCAAAAAAATAGACCCGAAATTCGATAAGCTCAATAGTTGGCCTGCTCGAGCCCTAGCCTAATATTTTTAAAAAGAGGACTTGAATTTACCCTCAAACCTATTACTCGGCCCATGTTTGACAATTAAGTTGGGATTAAGTCTTAAAATGAAATGTGCATTCCATTCCAATGTTTGGATTAAATTATTGATGCCAGAATAGAATGAAATATGGCCAAAACATAATTTATTTTTTTATGGAATTTCTAACTTAATTTAACAATACTACCTTATGATGAATACTCCGATTAATTTTAGAACTTCACAAGTAAGATTAAATGCACAATTAACTCACACACATAATCACATAAAATTCACCAAAAAAATATTTAAAATTGATAAACAAATAAAAAAAGGCTGAAATGCATAAATTTCATTATCTTACGCATGTATATTCTTGTTCTCCCCAAAAAATAAAAATAAATATTTACCCAAGAAAAAAATATACAATATATATGTATATTGTTCCACAAACCAAATAAATATAATTTTGTTCATTGTACAACTTTCTACATAGTACAAATTAATTCTCCATCCAAATAGATATGTTCAAATAACACCGCTTAATATTCCTCTAACAAATTATGTCTTCTCGGCCTCATGCATGACCAAAAAAAGGTTAGTAAGATCGAAGTCATGAGCCAACATATTCGAGGCTTTGCGCCTCTCACTTATGGAACGGTAAAGCATCTTCAACAACTCTTCAAAAATCTTTTTCTTTAAGTTGCGGACTGCAACATCAATACCAATTGCACGAGCAAACAAAGTTATTGCCTCCTTTAAGTAACGGACTACAACAATACCACCAATTGGGAGATTAATGACACCAAAAATTTAG